CATAAAAGAATATAAAACATGATCTAAAGACAATTAGACACATACCCTTTAACCTTACCCTGAAAAAACAGTAAAAATGGCTAGTGATATAATAAGATCGATGATGTATTCTGTTATGATACTGAACGTCGTGATTTTAGAAATCTATTACAGGGATATATATAAAGAAACTGTCAACGATGCTTCCATCATTGGTATATATCCTTCTTTCTCCCACAACCACACATACAAATATAATGCATGCATGCAAAATACTAGCTAGGGTTCTAACTTGTAACGTTTGTATATATGTATCAACAGGTTCAAGATCTGATTTTCTGAAAGAATTAATGTCATCAATTGACTTCTCGAATGCAATGATAGGCTTCGGTATAGCATTTTTGGGTGCGACTGTTGTATATTTAGCATCAAAATCATCTCAAAGAAACGATTATATCGTTTGGCAATTAATTATGTGGCTTGTAGAAGTATCATTCGCAACTACTATATTGGGTCTCGCTCTTAATGCCATGGGGTATCTTTTAGTACTCTAAATATTAATGGTGTTTTTATTCAATATGACATGAGCACATATACTTGGACAAAATATTTTCTAATTTTTCAAAAGGTTGAATAAACGTAACATATATGATTTTCTTTTACAACATATAAAATATTAAGTTCACATTTGAGAAAACAATTTACAGAAAAAATAATACATATAGTATTCGTATTTTCTTTTCCATGAATAGGGTGTAACTGAGTCGAGATAGCTTGTGAGATACTCGAGACCGACTCGAAATCGACTCAGTTCAAGTCGATTCAAGTATTGAAATATGTGGCTCGTGAAAACTCATGAGCTTAATCGAGCTTAGTTACATTTATACTTTTATGCTTAGTTGTATTTCTATTTCAATTTAATGTAATTTTATCTTTTTAATAATTAGTCGAGTCGAGTTGAGTCAAGCTCGAATGTATCGATTACTTTTATTAAGCTCGAGTCCGAGTTTGAAATTGAGGTCCGAGTCGAGTTTTGAGCCTGATCTTTTAATTAGTCGAGTCGGGTTTCAAATTTGGCAATACACGATTGATTCAATTGGGCTCGATTACACCCTTATCCATGAGTCTAAAAGAAGTGGTGAAGATAAAACTTAGTACTGTTACTTTTATTTTGTCTTAAGAAAAGTACATCTTAAAATGTACTTTATGAAATTTTACATAATGCGAACCTAACTTTTCCCATTTGTAATTTTCAGAAAACGATGGAGCAATTTAAAATCCGTTTAGTAACTCAACTCAATTCGCGTATCAACGCAATAGAATTAAAAGGTGGCTACAAATTTATGTCTTGGAGACTTGATTTCTTATTTTTCAATTTCTGTTACATAATTTATACGATGCAAATTATACAATTGTATTTGTGGAATTTATAACAAGAATAAATAAATAAAGCCTCACGTTTCTTTTTATGTACGTGTTGCCACCGAAATTAAGGTGGTCTTTTAGTGATCATATCACTAAAATTAACAGTTTTAAATTAAAAAAGTTATAACCCAAGTTTTAAGGTGGTGACCCATCGTTCTAGAAAAATATGCATTGCAATAATTATTATTATTATTATTATTATTTTTTTTGTATATTATATTTAATACTGCACCTCTTTTTATAATGCACACAATGTTATATTAAGTAGCTAATGGGATGGTCGGTATGTTTATTAATCCTATATTTTTTATATTATTTTAGACTTTTAGTAATGGTCTGCTATATACGGGGTCTATTTTTATAATTTTTGTGAAATATAGGGACTATGCTGGTAAATTAGAGAGACTTTTTATAATTTTATGAAACACAGGACCAACCATTTCTGTTAATTTACTACTAGGCAGAGCGAATTTCTGTAATTTTGTATGTAAATCATTATTTCTATAAACCAATTCTATAATTTATAGAAAAAAGGGACCATTTTTGTATATTTTGTTTTTTTTTTTCAATTAAACAGGAACCATTTGCATAAGTTTAGAAAACATTTCTGTAATTTTTGTAAAACAAAAAGACGATTAATATAAACTTGCTATTAGACAAAAAACCATTTCTCTAATTCGCTATTAGAAAGACACCAACACTGTAATTTGCTATTAGACATACCATTTCTGAAATGCAATGAACCATTCACTATAACTCAGGGACCAAGGGACCATTTCTGTAATTATCCTAAACGGCAATAATTGTATATAACGTATAATAAACATTATCGGACAGTTTAAAAAAGCTGAAATTTTATTAGAAAATAGAAAATATTTACTTTATGGGGTTAATAACCTCAATTTCGATAAATCAAAAACTCTTAACACATGATATCATATCATCTGAAATGTGATTTAAGATATCACAAATCAATCCATATTGGAATTAAAACTCCAACAATACAGCTACTCTGAATATATCGATTACTATAAAAGCGTATAGCCATGGACTCAACGCACCAACAACATATTTCACACACAAAAAAAAAAAAAGCTCCATAACAACACACCCACAAAAATAAAACTGAAAAAAGAAAAAATATACTATTTTGTGTCACGAGAGAAAAAGAAAAAAATAATAATAATAAGAACACAGTAAACAGTGAACAGAATTTGGTGAAGCTCTCTTGTTCTGGAACAAAACCTATGTTTTGTAGTTTAACAAGATTTCATCAAATGACTCCATGGCTTTTTATATGATCAATTTTCTGTATTCAAGAAAACAAACGAGAAATGTTAAAACACAAATCTTGTAAGCTATACACGAGTGTTTCTTATTTAATGCAGAAATAACAACTTAACAGACAAAGTCAAGAAAAAAAGGCTTTTCCCATTAACTGTTAAATCCCGACTTTTTACAAATTTGTCCTGGTTTATTTTTGCCTTCCATTTCTTCAAATGTGTCGTCATTCTCTCATATTAGTATTTGACTGTGTCAAATGTCTAAAATTCCCCTAGATAATTAATTTGCGTACTTTGAAATTTGAATGAAACCAATATTTAATTATACAATGTTTGAATTAGATTTGATGGTACAATCCAAGATCCAAACATATTTAACTAATTTTATAGATCCAGATCAGATCTATGTTTTTTCCATTTTAATATTCAGATCAGTCACAGTCACAGTCACAGTCACAGTAGAAGGTCACAAAAATAATTATTAAGTTGGAAGAGAACCCCGACCTGAAATTACCTCCCTGACCCTGCAAACACCTCGAACATTCCACAGCAATTTGACCAGGAAGTCAATTTTCTCTCTTCTAGTGGAACTGGAGGTGGATCTACCACTGCCTGCATTCATTTTCACAAATTTATAAAATTCTGAATATTTATATAAAATATTGATCCACCACTCTAACTAGCCACTAATCTTTGTAAAATAATTATTTCTCGCGAATTAGGGATAATTGCAAGAAATAGCAACGTACTTTTATTCACTTGTTTATTATATTTATAGCATCTTACTTTCATTTCTTCCCATTACACTACACAATTGTATTTTAAAAATCTACCCGATTAAAGCAATGTCAAAAAAACACAAAGAAAAGTATAAAGATATTGCATAATCATTATAAGTTTATAACCCTAAATTCGTTAGTATATGGCATCATAGCATACCTGTTTTAGGTGTCTATCAGAGTGCTCAACTGAATCTGCATGATCTTGAGAAACCTCTTTTGAAACTGATTCATCTACACTAGAAATTGGGATTTCATCCTTCAAAGCATCTTCACTAATGGTAATCTGTTCTTCTACAGCTTCAGGCACAACTAATTCTTGTCTCTCTTCGTTCTTTGTTTCATCATACACTTTTACTGCCTCTTGTACAGGGTTAACTGGTTCAACAATGGGGGAAACCTCGGATTCTACAACTTCATCAGGTATTGTTTCAGGCAAAGATTCAACTGCTGGAGCTTTGGTTTCATCAACTGGATCGACAATGGGGGGAATCTCCAGCTCTTCAACTTTATCAGTTGTCTGTTCAGCTTCAGGTTCAAGAACAACTTCTTTCTTCTCATTTGAATCCTCATCTGAAGTATCACTAGAACTCGAACTACTACCATTTGAGCTCTTGGGTTTCTCACCTGTTTCAATCTCAATATTACTTTCTTCCCCGTTTGCGTCCTTAGATTTGATTTCAGATGAATCGTCTGCTCTGTTCTCCACCTCTACCGATGGATCTTGAGCGTTTTGGTTGTCCTGTGAAGCTTCATTCTCCCCTGGCATGGTCGGATCCATTAAAGACGAGTAAGAATACAATAATAACCCCTAAATTGAGCTTGAAATAAGCCCTAAAGTCTAAAGAAGTAGACAATAGTTGATGGGTGAGCTCGTGAAACAACTCAAAAGTGCTAAAATCTACTCCTTTCATTACCAAATTTATACTAAAATCCAAGTCCCGACACAGTTAAGCTTAGACCCACAAACCAACTTTACGAAACGAATTCAAATCGACAACGAATAGATGCAGAAAAAAATTGAGAGACAGATGTATAAACAGTTAAGCGCTAAACACGTTTAACTTTTCGCAATAAACTAATCAACACTTTTGAGCGAAATCGGGCCACACCCAACACACTGAAACACCATAAAAAGATTGAATAGCAAGTGGGTTGGGTGTGAATCGCTGGATTAAAGCAAGAACATAAAGAAATAAGGAGAGAGATTGAGGGTATGTCCGTACCCTGATGAGGGTTAGTTGTGGATGAGTTATTAACCTCCTTCTTCTTCTTGGCAGCTTTTCGCTTCTTAGCACCTGATGGCATGATTGAATTATAGAGATGAAATAGAGAAAGAGGAATTTGGGGATGGTTGTCTCCTCTTCTTTGTCTCACTGTAAATCGCAAGTAGGGCCTTCAGTAGACTAATGGATGAATCTCGTGTGACGAAAGATTCAAGTTAAGATTTGTGCCACTGGTGCTTTTGGCAGGTTGCCGACGGTGTAGTCTTGTAGAGGTGGGGTAGGGTGTATGGGGGCGGGATGGGGATGTCTAAAATAGCTAAACCCATTTTTGTTAAAAAATAATAATTTAAAAGATATATAACAACTTTATGAGTTGATTAAAAAAAATACTGTTATTTAACGAATTGATATATATGAAACGATAAAATATACTGTAATAACTCTGCTGTATTAAACTAAGGTTGCATTCCGAACAATGAAAAGATTGGAATGGTGCAAGTAATTTTAAAAAAAATATTTGGTTCAATAGAAAATAAAATGTAATTCATCAAATTTTTGTGATTTTATTGTCCGTAAAAAAATCATATTTCAACAATATAATATATGAAAAACAAAAAACATATCATATATAATATACGTAACACAAACATAGTACTTTATAACAATACAAAATACACATTTTATAATGATATAAATAAAAATAGATTCAATAATATATTCTGTTTATACCGATTATTACTTATTAAAAGCTATGACAAAAAAAACAATAATAAAATATTGAATTATATGTTGTGGCGAGGACAATTTGTGTTGGAAGTTAAATTTTAACAAATAAGAATTATATACCGTTGTTGTGTTTGTTGTTATATATATGGTTGATATCATTTCAATTTATGTTGTTGAATGAAAACGTATTAGATGTGACCGAACTCATATATAAGGAACATATATAAAAATAAGCATGAAAACATATACAAAATATACGTCGAAACATAAAAAATAACTCGAAATCATACAAACAAATAAATAAAAATAAGCAAGTAAGATTATTCATTAAGTTAACGAACGGAAATTCAAATAATAAAAATTGTATTATATGTGACAAGACTCATATGTAGAAAGTGTAAATAAATAATATAAAAAAAATATAAAAAAAACGAAAACATTAAAAAAGATTACGTCGAAACATAGATAAAGTCGAATTTGTACTAATACATACATAAAATAAAAAAAATAAAAAAAACATGTGACTTTTTTTTTAATTTACGAACAAAAGTTGTAAATATATGTTAGAAACTTTGACAACTTTAATTTATACCTACACATACAAACTACAAGGGATAAACATAAAAGTTTAGAAAATAAAAGGGTGAAAATGACATTTTATAAACTTCAAAATGAGGGGGTCAAAGTGACATTTTTAAAAACAGAGGGGTGAAAAATATAATTTTACAAAATATTTTAAAAAGTAGAGGGATAAAATGTGAATTTTATGAAAGTGGAAGGGTTGCAACTGTTAGTGGAAACTTCCATCGACATTGCAAATTGATATATAGCTGGGAACTTGCCTCATCGCATGTTGCGGCGGTGGCGACAGAACGTTTTATAAGTTGAATTTTGATGATTATATTGATAAAATTAGGTATTGCTACATTTATTGGTAAATAAATATATAAGGTCGGTGCCACTAACTAACTCCAGTTTATATCGTCGAATTAAAACATATTATATGTGATCAAATTCATCCGTAGGAAACATACATAAAATAAGCAAGAAAATATACACAAAAGTTACATAAAAAACGTATCATATATGACCAAACTCATATGTAGAAAACGTACATAACAATAAGCAAGAAAACACACACAAAATTTATGTCGTATGTAACAACCCGTTCTTTCGAGTCAATAAAAGTCAATGAAATTCACACTAGATCAAACAAAGAGTTGCAATTATTCATACCTAAGCCTAATACTTAGCTTAAATCATATTACATCTTAGTATAATTTTGGTTTTATTCCAAGGAATTTTAAGTGAAAGCTATACTTTGGAAATACGTAGGAACCTTAAAACTTAAAGAAAATTAATATATATATATATATATATATATATATATATATATATATATATATATATATATATATATATATATATAGAATTCGGTATTAGGAATCAATTCCAAGACCAACACCGAATTCCCTTTAAGAAACAAAGCTTGACCGAATTTTGTTTTCCTTTTGACCCAAGAAACCGAATTCACACCCACTTGTAAGGTTTGACCGAATTCTCCATTTCCACATTGACTAAAACCGAACACCCTTCATTTTGATGACTTTAAGACCGATTTCATGAAGGAATTCGGTCTTAAAGGACCGAACACCCATAATTTGAGGTCCATTAAGGCCGAACACCCTATATATATGTGTGTGTGTTAGGCCGCTTTCCCAATTCATTTCCCTCTTTTACCACCGAACTCTTGCAAAATTTTCTCTCAAAAGTCATAAGAATTTTACCCAGATCTTCATATCATCTTCAAACATCCAACCGAGTTCATCAAACCACATTCAAATCTTCAAATATTCAAAGTCTCACCAAGAACACCATCACACCGAGTTCATCCAATTTCCCCACCGAAAACACCAAATCCACCGAAAACACCCTTCCCCTTTATTTCAAATATTCCAAATTAATTGGTAAGTAATTCTTACTTAATTAATTATTCCATTTAGTATTTAAATTAATTAATTATTAATTTAAATACGACAACGAATACAATTATTTTTAGGGTAACGTTATTAGCACGTACGCTTACCCGGAGATCGTTTCTACAACACGTTAAATTTCGTCACCAACGCACAAACAAGGTGAGTTCATACCCCTACATTTTTCTAGTTTTTAATGTTTTTAGGGAGGAATACAAGTACCACAAAAATACATTGTTGGAACATTTCAGTATTTTCTAAACGATTTCAAAACTGTCATATATTGTTTTAAGTTATCCTAATTTAATTTGACAGTAATCAATCATTGTTTTCACTGAGACTTATTTTATACACTCATAATTATATGAACCTTTGTAACATGTAGAGCAAAGGAACACTTTCAGAATTACTTATTTTACAAATGGAATATACACTTATAAACTATAATAGGTATAGTTTATAGAAGAATTACATTATCAATGCGCGAAACATAGATACAATCCGAATAAACATATAAACTATAATAGATATAGTTTATGGAACAATTACATTATCAATGCGCGAAACATAGATACAATCCGAATAAACATATAAACTATAATAGATATAGTTTATGGAACAATTACATTATCAATGCATGAAACATAGATACAATGCAAATAAACATATAAACTATAATATGTATAGTTTATGGATCTTACAAACAGTCATTTAAATTCAAATGATTCGTTTTATTCTACACTTAATCGTCAGTATAGCATTTTGTGAGTGAGCATCTTCGCGTACTTACCTAAGTACTAACAAAAGTCCTGCGATTATAACCAGAGTCTCCTGGAGGGAGAGCGTGAGTTTGTGTATAGATCTATACGGGACTGACAATCTCGCACCACAACTGTTAGCTACAGTTAGGCCGGCAGGCTTGGGTGACAAAGTCATTTCGATTCCCACGCCTGAAGAACGTCGTTCAGCCAATTCAATGGTCAAGTATGGTTATAACAACTCATAAATTTGGTACTAAATGATACGATTAATGTATGAATGGTAAACAACTTCACTTAGTTTTATTATAAATAAAACTACAACAATGTATAAAACCACATCAAGGTATATTACAAACAGCTGGTGTTACCAGGGAATTACAAATTACAGAGTCTTTATCCATATACATATGCATCATACTATTTTGAAATACAAAAACACCTTTACAGAAAATATAGGATTTTCTGGGTAAAACACATGAACATCTTTTACAAGGAAACAACTTATAGATTTCTACCTACAAACATACTTATGAACTCACCAACTTAAATGTTGATACACTTTCAAAATCACCTGTATTCTCAGGGAACCGATAAGACATGTACACTCGCAGCTTTTTGAGAAGACGGAGCTTTTAGGGTCGCGTCTTTTATACTTTTGTTATACCTTTTGATTTCATACAAACCATGTTATGAACAGATGTAAATACTATATTTTATCAATGTAATGGTTGTGTTGCTTGATTACTATTATACAATTGTTGTGATACTGTACATGACGTCCTCCGCCCCCGAACGTTTCCGCCGTTCCGGTTTGGGGGTGTGACAGATTGGTATCAGAGCATTGTTTATAGTGAACTATGTATATCAAACCTTACATGGTATACAACTATAAACACTAAAGGGGCCGAAGCACTCTGAACTAAAAGTATACTTTTAATATCTAAGTATTATATAAGAAGTATATTAACACTACATACATACGAGAAACAGTATCGCAAGAAGATCAAAACAAAAGTATTTAGATGTGGGTCACTACGGTTATACCTGGACAGTTATGTAATCATATATGGGATAAATATAGCCTGGTCAACTATATTTATTTGAGATACGGCCAACATGTGTTTGGGAGTAATAGTAGTGTTGCAATAAGTCTAAAACTTACCAAACTCTAAACGAAGAAAACACTAGAACCGAACATACATATAAAATACTATAGGAGTATTTTGTAGCACTATAACCCTAGAGCCAAACACGTGAAAACAAAGAACTCCTACTGATAGATCTATAATCGCTAAGTGTATACATGTAAGATATATATAAGTAAGATTTCATAGAATTAGGGTAGGTGGTCTAACTTTACTTCATGTTCCTTGTTTGGTTGTGGACTTAGAGTTGGATCACTTAGTCAAAGGTCTATTTGATTTTAGTTATATATAAATTGTGTACGCTATGTGATTATAGGGGGATCCGACACGAATCATATTATACAAATTCATTTCAAGTGTTGCTATTAATTCCATGGTGATTAGTTACTTGTATTAGTAGACTTTCTTTGTAAATTCGCTTAATAGAACACTCTAACCGTAAGGTTTATATATATATATATATATATATATATATATATATATATATATATATATATCGTTCATTATCACCTGACTCATAACCCCTATAGAGGACTTACCATCATTTTCTCTTGAATCATTTTAGAGAAAGATGGCTCCTAAGAAGTCCACCAAGAAGAAAAACAACACTTCGACAAATCCACCGCCGCCACCACCACCCCAATTTGACCCTGTTGTCTTCCAAGCAGCAGTAACCGCTGTTGTGGTTGCCGCCATGTCG